ATATAAAACTCTCTTTTATACATGAGTTTCTCTGGATTTGTTTCTCTAAAGTACCCAGACTAACACACCAGGTTATTAGAACAAAGTGTTCTGGCATTGAGGGAGTACTTGAGTAGAGGCCCAATGTCCATCTGCTACCTTTATACTTCACATATGTACATGGGACTATTTCTCTATATTTATATATAAGTATATTTACATATGTACATGTCTGTATTTAGACCTCTATAAATGTCCTTTGCCTCTGAGTTCTTTCCTCTATTTCCTTTTACTTTTCTCTTGTCCCACTATCATTCAGGTTTCAGTAATTCCTCGTGGCTTCATTGTCTTTGATCAAGCCTCACCAGGCATTCTATGCCCTCCTTGCCATCAATTTTAGATCAATTGTTGTTCCTTTACCCCTGGGTTTGTTGACACCACCCTTCCTTTCCCCAGCATCCTTCTCTCCCTTGTCCCCAGGGAACCGTTGGTCGCATTGTTTTCTCCTCTGGATTGTTTATCCTGCCTATCTTGTCTAGAAGGACATGCAGAGGCACTAATAAACACAAAAATAAGACATAGCGAAAGAAAACAAAATAAATAAACCAATGACAAAAAGAGAAAAGCCTTTAAATAATTCCAGGTCTGTTTGTTGACCTTTGTTGTTTTGTGGTTGAGTCTGCTGGGATGCCACCGCCTGCCCCAGAAGTCTATTTTTGGTATTCCCCAGGGACTTCATTGCTTTTCTCTCCTTGCTGCTCTGTTGCACACCCTTAGTGTTTCACCCCAGTTTGGTGGGGTCCGATTGCGCACAATTCCCACACTGTGTCATCAGTGTTATCCCCAGTAGCTCTATGGGTAAGTGAGGGATGTCGTGTCTTGTGATGGGTAGGCCCTATAGTCATTTCTGTGCATTGGCTGTTCTGAGCAGGAATGTTGTCCTCAGGTCTTGGTGGGGATCGTAATGCAGATTATTTCTTTTCATCTTTTAAGAAATCGTATTTTATTGCATTTTGGCTGTACTTGCATTTACTGATTAGTTTCTCACTGCATGATTTCTACACAAATTGTTCAATGACATTAGTTACCTTATTTGAAATGTGTTGATAGTGTCCTTAATTATATTCCTGTTCCGTTTCTGGTACTCTATTTCCCCTCTCCACTTAACTTCTCTGCATTCTTTTTTTCCTGACACTATTGATTATGGATACCTCTTAAGATCCTGAATACAAACCATATACTGCTGTGTGTGAAAAAATGAAACTTATTACTCCAGTAGTAGATTGTGTATCAATATCTGCCTCTCTGTCACACACTGGAGTGGAATCATACTTCTTCATGTCTTTGAATTTAGACTTGGTCTTGTGAGCTTTTCTGGCAAGCAGAACACGAATGGGCATAGCATCTTCTTCCACTTCCAGGCAGAAGTCTTTATGTATATATTTCTCTACCTAATAGCATAATCTATCATAACTGTTATGGTAACTCGTACATGTGAATGGTTTAGTATTGTAAAAAATATTAAAACTTTAACATTTGTAAGTGTCTTTAAGCTAGGCAGTGGGTGTGAATGAAACAGTGCTTGTTGGAAAGAAAAAAAATCCACGTTTGGCACATAAAGCATTTGACCCAACTGCCACCTATAGTAGTTTGGGAAGGAGATTATATAAGTAATGACATAGAGTAAATTTATGATTTAGATAAAAGTGGAAAACAATGTTTGTAACGTTTGTTGATATTGAATGAATATCAGTTGGAGGAAATCATGCTAAGTGAAGTAATCCAAGCACAGCAGGACAAGTACAACATGAACCCACTGAAGTAAGTTTAAATAGAAGAAAGCTGGACTTGGCCTCCACTCAAGTACTCCTTCAATGCTAGACCACTTTGTTCTATTAAGCTAACGTTCCATGATGCTCACCTTCCTGACGTGATCCCTGAAGACAAAG